AGAGCAAGGGTTGTTCTGCCTCATGAGATCAGTTTCTGAGGTCTCCTTTCCATTTTCCCATGACTCTTTGAAGATTATCTCTTCAACACATTGCCTTTGGCCTGTAGGCAATGTACATGACCCAGTTCAAATCTCATCTAAGTATCCACTTCCTCAGTGTCAAACAGGTAGGACTACTGAAAAGTGAGAACAGGATTTGGGATTTCTGCATTGCTGGTTAGCATGTGCGATCCCCAAATACGGGAAGCTGGCCTCACCCTTCCAAGAGGTCTCTGAGCAAGCTCTTCTTCCAAGGTCCTCAGCTCCCACAAAGATGCCAAGTATTTAATTGATAAGGAAGATGTGAGATCCTCTAGATTGGGGGAGGGGTGAGACCTCAGAAATCAATCCCCCGAAGCAAATTACATAACCAAAATATACATAAAAGGATGCACAATGTCCAGTATCTTTTAGGTTCTACCCACCTTATTTTTCCTATTGTGTCTGCGCTGTGGTCCTTAAGATGAATTCTCTCATCTATTTCTTACTTTAGGCAGACATAGGGCAGAACAGAGACTGTTTCTGTGATGCATCCTCCTTTGGGTTTAAGATTGATCCCACAATCTGAGACTGTACTGTAAGGAAACAGAGGTGGTGCCAATATTAGGAGGCAAGGAGTGTCAGGGCAGAGGCCAGTATTTAAAGAAGTATTTCCTGAAAATATTAGAGTAGTTGTTTTGTTTTGTTTTGTTTTTCACAAAACACTCTGCAGTCATTAACCCCACAAAGGAACTCTGCTGACTTCAGTGAGCAGCAGCACGATTGTTCTTACTGAAAATGGTGAGGCAAGCCAGGCAAGCACCTGTAGTCCCAGCTACTTGGGAGGCTGAGGCAGGAGGATCGCTTGAGCTCCAGGAGTTTGAGTCCAGCTTGGGCAACATAGAAAGACCTTGTATCTTTAAAACAAACAAAAAACGGTGAAACAGCTTCACTTGGGATACTGGGTATGTCTAATGAGGTCAGCTAGGAATCGGTCAGTTTGTTGAAGGCCGTTTAGAGGAAGATCTAATTTACTGCATAACCAGTTCACAGAGTGGGCTCGTTTGGTCATTTGTCTCCGTAAGAGCATTTTAAGGACTATTTAGTTTGTCTCTGTCTCTGCTCCTTGCTGCTGTAGTTGGAGTCCAAAGGTCAGGAAAAAGGAAAGACTGGGTAGGCATAAGAAGAACATAAGCTTCAATGTGAAGAATTCTTATCAATATATCCTTTTTGTTTTGTTTTGTTTTCAAACAGTCTCACTCTGTCACCCAGGCTGGAGTGCAATGGTGTGATCTTGGCTCACTGCACCCTCCGCCTCCCAGGTTCAAGCGATTCTCTTGCCACATCCTCCCGAGTAGCTGGGATTACAGACACCTGCCACCATGCCTGGTTAATTTTTATACTTTTTGTAGAGATGTGGTTTCACCATATTGGCTAGACTGGTCTTAAACTCCTGACCTCAAGTGATCCACCCGCCTTGGCCTCTCAAAGTGCTGGGATTACAGGTGTGAGCCACCGCGACCGGCCAGTATATACTTCTTTCTTTTCACGTTAGTCTCGGGGTACAGCTTCAAGAAGTCAGAGCAGGCAAAAATGGAATATATGTTCTTCTAGAATACATTCTTTTAAATATATTTAATAAACATATTCCTCACTGTGAAGAAATCTTATGTTCCCTGGTGTTTCCTCTCTTTATCTCTAAGTCTCAGCTGAGCTACAGGAAGCTGGAGCAGAGACAAATTCAACATGCTTTAAAATGTAATGAAAAACAAAATGATCTCCAGTCAACTAAATTATCATAGAAATAACTAAATTTGATGAATTGGTCATTTTTGGCAAATTCATTCAGAATTGACCCTCTGGGTCAAAGATGGAGTGCTTTTCTTTAGAGTCAAAGATCTGAACCCTACAAAAGAAACATTTATTGGTTTCCACCTTGGATGTTAACGTGGCAGAATGATGGCAGATCCTCTGGTTGGGGTCAGAAAAATCATACATGGTGCTACCCCAGGGTCCAGTTCTGGGTTTGCATTTTTTTTTTTTTTTTTTTTTAGGTGGAGTTTTGCTCTTTGTTGCCCAGGCTGGAGTACAATGGCGTGACCTTGGCTCACTGCAACCTCCACCTCCCAGGTTCAAGTGATTCTCCTGCCTCAGCCTTCCGAGTAGCTGGGATTACAGGCACCCACCACCATGCCCGGCTAATTTTTGTATTTTTAGTAAAGAAGGGGTTTCACCATGTTGGCCAGGCTGGTCTCGAACTCCTGACCTCAGGGGATTTGCCTACCTTGGCCTCCCAAATTGCTGGATTACAAGCATGAGTCACCACGCTTGGCGCTAAGTTTTCATCTTTATGGAGATCATGAATCAGCTTCAGAGACAGTAATAAACCCTATCATATACTATATCTGATTCTTGACAAATATTTGAGAAATGACTCGGAGACAAGTTTCTATTGGGTGATAACCAGAGAATGGCTTCATGGATATGGGAACCCAGATATGGCAGTTTTGTACCTCAAGGATATGAGGATACTAAAACATGAGACTGATTCTTATATAATATAGCTTACTGGTCCAAAATGAATCACTAAAGTTTGCTCGGAAATTTAAAAGTTTAAAACAGAGTAGCCTTCCTTCTTGGTTTTATTCCAGAATCTTGAGCTTATTGAAGAACACAGCTTACATGTTGCTATGCAATAAGCATAGACCAAAGCCTAAGCCTGTAGACGGCCTGTACACCAAAAGAGGTGCATGCGTGTATAGCAGGAATAGCAAAGAAAGAAGTCAAGAAACCGAAATGTTTCTATAATAGGTAGAAATGCCAGATAAGGAGCAAAGATCATCAGTTATTTCCCATATGGCTGCAAAATTGACTCCTAAAGAAGGACCCAATGGAAAGAAAAACCACAGTGAAAAGAAGCAATGATCCCAGATTTTAGATGCAGATGAATACATGACAATTCTAACAAGTGTGCATTTCAGATTACCAAAACATTTAATGATGATAACAATGTCTGGTTTTACTCACCCCCTAGACCACAGCAGATTCTTCATGGAGGCACATCACATGGATTGCTGCATAATTCAAGAGCCAATATTAAGAAAACAAAGTATTACATGAAGTAATATGTGAGCTGATGAGGAGTTTGGTGCTTTAGTTGAGTGACAGAGTCAAGCCATAGATTTATGTTCTGGAATATCTAACATAAACTTGATTAAGGACCAAACATAAAGGAACTCAACTAAGCAGGACTGATTTCATTTATTCATGCAAGCAACATTAATTGAGCTCCAACTATATGCTCTACCCTGTAACAAGGCATGGTAGGAGATACCAAAGACTGTTTCAGTGAGTAACATACATTCCAATTAGGAAAATATGCCTCATCCACACACGTAAACATAAATGACAGGAGGCAATACACTTCAGCCAAGTGACAATGAAATTAGTTATGATTTATTAAATATTTTTATACTAGCCAGGCTTGTGCTAAATGCTTTATATTCATCCTCTTGATCTTAAGTCATATTGTGAGGTAGGTGCTATGATTATCCCCATTTTACAGATGACAACACTGAAGTTCAAACATGCAAAACAGTATGCCAAAGGTCATACCACTTGTAAATGGCAGAACTGATATTTGAACTCAAACTGAACTGACTCCAAGTCCTAAGCTCTTATTAAAGAAATGGCTATAGAAATTCAGAAAAGGGGGAAGGCTAATAGAGATGCTGAACTGGCCGTTAAGGAAAGATAGGCTTCAGTTAGTCAAGGAGAAGAGGAAGGACCAAAGGGTTCAAGCGTAGAGTAAATGCCTGGAGACTGGCAAAGAGCTTGCGGAAACAATGATTACATTAGTCTAGCTGTCCAGTGAATTCCTATGTGGGCCAGATTTTGGTGGACAATGAATACCAGGCCGAAGATTGTGAACTGTAAGTTATAAGCAGCCACGAAACATTACAATGAATGCCAAGTTTCAAGCTGTAGAACTGTGAGAGATGAACTGCGAAACTGGCGGCGAGAGCGGCGCCCAGGTGGCAAGGGGCGGGGTCACAGGCTCCAGAGGTGTCGCTGGGGCACTTGTCCGGGCCTCCCCCTTTTTCTTCCGGACTGGGCCCGGCTACTCCGATTCCGCTAGGCGACGGAGACGGCGCCAGGGGCGGGGCTCCAATCCTGCCCGCAGAGGGGTGCCCAGGCGGCCGCGGTGGGCGGCCCTCTTTCTCCTGCCTCGGGTGGGATTGGCACCCGTCTCGGAGGCCTCCTCACTACCACGCAGGGAAGCCGACTCGTCCCCTGCCCAGAACCAGGTTCCCCTAAACTCCCGCGGGCAGCCTCCTTTTTCGTCCCCCACCCCTCAGGGTCGCGACTCTGAGGGTTCCGCTCTGCGGCGGAGGCGGGGCCGGAGGTGGGAATGGGAGACAGGGCCAGACGTCGTCACAGGCGGGAGGCGGGGCGGCCTCCTTACCTGTGCCCCTCAGGGTTCCAAGGGTTCCACTCTGCGGCAGGGGCGGAGGTGGGGTGGAGGTGGGGTGGAGGCGGGGCGGGAGGGGCCGAGGCGCCCAGGTGGCCACGGCTGGGGCTGGCAGCCGGCTGGGGAGAGACGGGACTCAGGGAGGAAACGTGGTTCCCGCTGGTTGCTGATTTCTCAGCGGCTCTCCCGGACCTCCCCTTTTTCCTTCCCCCTCAGGCCGCGACTTGGAGGGTTCCGCTCCGCAGCGGGGGCGGGGCCAGGGGCGGGGCTGAGCGCGGCCTGGGCGGGCTGGACTCTTTTTCCCGCCCGGGGGACCTCCTCCCGACCGCTGGGACGTAAAAGGGGCTCGGCAGGGGCGTCCTCGCTCTACGCCTGGAATCCTATTTCCCGCTGCTTCCGCGGGGCGTCCCGGGTCCCGCCAGCGTCGGGAGCCCCGCCGGCCTGGCCTAGGCGGGACCTTCGTCACGCCAGCCCCCGTCCCCGCCCCCGCGCCTCTGGTTGGCTTGCTTTCCAACCGGACTTTGGGGCTAGCGTTTAGAAAAGTCTCGACCTCCTCCGGCCCAGTCCCATTCCGAGAACTGACTGAGGCTGTGAGTGTCCAGGAACCACGGCCGCTTGGAGGCCACAGCCTCGACGTCCCGCGCCCACGCGGCAGAGCGGGCTCTGCGGCCCAGGAGCCTCGGGAAATGCGGAGCAGGAGCAATTCCGGGGTCCGCTTGGACGGGTACGCGCGGCTGCTGCAGCAAACCATCCTGTGTTACCAGGTAAGGAGGGACCGCCCACGGGGAACGCTTAGAACTGCCCTCTCGTGTCACTCAGTCTCCTCCCCAGGCCTCTGGCCCTCTTGTGACCTGAGACTTTGCAATTGAGTTTCCTATTTGAATCTAGTCCTTGCTAGCCAGTGATTCACCCTATTGCCACCTGTGCTCCTTAAAATTCAGGGGACCTAATTGTTGCTACGGCTACTTTTCACAGAATTCTTTGGCCATTGTTAAGGATGAGAATGAGCCTCCTCTGTGCCCTGGGTCCAAACTGCCTCTTTGCATTACTTTGCTTTTTTTGGACGAGAAAAGAGGTATGGGGGTGTTGGACAGACAACACTGGATGAAAACGGTAGACAGGAGTGAAGAAGTTCCTGAAGTTGACACAGGACTCTGCAGTGCGGGGCGACAGCTGCTGTCCCTCCCACGAGCTGCCTTGGTAGAGACCCACCTGGGAGGCCTTTAGGGACTACATTGGTTGCTATTTTATAGATAAGAAAATTGTAAGGCCAGAAAGGTCACTACATGTAGCAGGTCAGCCCCGAAGTCTCCCAAGCTCACAGGGCCCTAAGACACTGCCCATGTGGCCCGAGGTCTGAATGTGCCTGCTATGCTTTGTGTTCCTGGGCTAAAATTATATGTGGGTCCATCAATGTAAGACCACTGAACTATTTTTATTCCTAGTGAAGACAGCAGCTATGTTTCTTGCCCTCAATCAACAGCAACTATTTATAGGGCCTTCAAAGTCAAAAGAAGGAAGTGGCATTCACGGTTTAGAGGCCTGGTCTGCAAGTTGGGAGCCATGGTCATTTCCAAGGCACTGACCATTTTCCCTTCTTAGCTAATTTCTTAGCCTTGCTTCCTCACTTAGGAAATATTTGTGGTGTATCTGTTATATGCAAGGCACTCGACAAAGTGCTGGGGTTACAAAGAATAAATAATCATAGTGCAGTAACGTTTATGCATAGGGTATAGGTCCAAAGTCCCTTATCTGTTTTGGTTTGGTTTTGTTGTTTGAGACAGGGTCTCAACTCTGTCGCCCAGGTTGCAATGCAGTAGCATGATATCAGCTCACTGCAACCTCCCCCTCTTGGGTTCAAGGGATTCTCCTGCCTCAACCTCCGGAGTAGCTGGGACTACAGGCATACGCCACCACACCTGGCTAATTTTTTGTACTTTTAGCAGAAAGGGGGTTTCACCATGTTGGCCAGGCTGGTCTCGAACTTCTGGCCTCAAGTCATCCTTTCACCTCAGCCTCCCAAAAGTGCTGGGATTACAGGCATGAGCCACTGCACCTGGCCTCAGAGTCCGTTAATCTGAAACCCTGTGGACCAGTTGTGGTTTGCCCGTCAGAAATGTTTGGCTTTTAGAAAGGTAATATACATACAATGTACTGTATATACCATAATAACTACAGCCAGATCTGGGCAACACTCCTTCATCAAACAGGTTGTTACTTCCACATCAGAACAGGAGTATTCACGCTGAGTGGGATAAGAAAAGGCTGAAAAGAGTTTCACGTTAGTTCGGCTCATCCTTTGGCCACCAGAGAGCTTGCTGCAAACTTAGGAAAACACTTTTAAGTTTTCAGAGCTTACTGGCTTTTGAGATTGCACATGAAGGATTATAGTCTTTATTTTGGGAGCTTTGAGGAAGGACCCCTCACCCAGTTTGTGGGAGCAGGAGAGGAGTCCTATAAGAAATGAAGTTCAAGTTGAGAGCAGGAGAGGTAGGCAGGCAAATGAAGGTTATTTTTCCCCTTCCTCCTTGGAATATAATTACATCTATAAAGTGTTTTAAAATCCAAATGGAAGGCCGGGCGCGGTGGCTCACGCCTGTAATCCCAACACTTTGGGAGGCTGAGGCAGGCGGATCCAAGGACAGGAGATCGAGACTGGCCTGGCCCACGTAATGAAACCCCATCTCTACTAAATATACAAAAATTAGCCGGGCATGGTGGCGTGCACCTGTAGTCCCAGCTACTTGGGAGGCTGAGGCAGGAGAATTGCTTGAACCTGGGAGGCGGAGATTGCAGTGAGCCGAGATCATGCCACTGCACTTCAGCTTGAGCGACAGAGTAAGACTTTGTCTCAAAAAGAAGAAAAATCCAACCCCAGGCCTTGTGGTCCTCACAGGAGTACTCTGGCTTATTGTGCACCCTTTCCTGAAGGTCCTACTACAGCTCCTCATTCCTTGAGCATAATTATATCTCCTCATTGATGCCATGAGATCCTAAGTACAGAGACTTCATCAGTTTCTTTGCATCAAGCAGTGGCCCAAAGCATGAAAGGTATTCAGTGTTTTTTTTCTTTTTGGAGACAGAGTCTCGCTCTGTCACCCAGGCTGGAGTGCAGTGGCTCGATCTTGGCTTACTGCAACCTCCGCCTCCCAGGTTTAAGTGATTCTCTTGCATCAGCCTCCTGAGTAGGTGGGACTACAGGTGCACACTGCTACGCCTAGCTAACTTTTTATATTTTAGTAGAGACAGGGTTTCACTGTGTTGCCTAGGCTGGTCTCGAACTCCTGAGCTCAGGCAATCCACCCGTCTCAGCCTCCCAAAGTGCTAGGATTACAGGTGTGAGCCGCCGCACCTGGCCGAAAGCTACTCTGAAGTCCTTGATGGTAAAAGACTTCCTGCAGGATCTGAGCCATCCTAATGACCCAGTTACCTGTCCAAGTTTGCCTTCCTGCAGAAGCAAAAGAATTGTCTTCTCATTAAAGCAAATCTGTGGGATTGGACTTTCCTCCCCAGCATTTTAATGATTAAAAAAAAAGTTGTGTGAGCCTTTAGTTGTATTTATTTTGGGGGTAGTTGGGGAGTAGCCCTGGTGTTTGCCCTCTTTTTCCCTTCCTGTGTTGTCAAGCTCTTCTGGCCAACCAGAATAGTCCAAGCACAGTTCTGCAGGGAAATCCCATGCATCCACAAGTGCAGAATCGCACCCATCCACCCCCACAACTGGTGTTCACAGCGGGAGAACCCTGACCCATCCAAGGCCCCATCACCTTCTCTGAGTAATCTTAGGAAGGTCACCTAACTACTCTGGAAAAATGAATAAGCACTTTTATGTATATTTTACCACAATTAAAGAATGAGCTGCACGAAAGATTTCTAAAGTTTATGTTGACTCTCCCCACCTTCTGTAGATAATGTGCAGACGTTTTGAGGCGTTTTTTTAATGTCAGCTGGTAACAAGCTCTGAACTCTGTTTCTGATTTGCTTTTTAAATTGAGATTGATTTACATTGGTTTCATCTGCTAGAAATCATTTGTGTTAAATACGTCAAGCTAATCATCATTCTTCTGTTAGAGGCAATAGTTGGTTCCTATCAGCTAACATCTTAACTAATCCCTTTTCCTATATCTGTGAAAGAGAAGAACATTTCCCATTAGTCATTTGCCAAATAGACTTGCTGCTAAATATTATTTGAATCTTTAATGCAAAGAATGAAAGAGCTACGGTTACAAAAGGGTTCTTTTGCAGGTTTGATTTTGTAAATATATACTCTAGGAAGTATCTTTAAAAATTTGTTGCCTTTGCCAGGCTTGGTGGCTCACACCTGTAATCCAAGCACTTTGGAGGCCAAGGCAGGCAGATCACCTGAGGTCAGGAGTTCAAGACCAGCCTAACCAACATGGTGAAACCCCGTCTTTAAAAAAAAAAAAAATTGTTGCCTTTAAAAGAAGAAATTTTTAGATTGTTTTGGCTCAGGTAAGAAATATGAACTTCATACATCTTTTCACTAACAGCTGTTTGAAGGCTCCTTAATGAAAGTATGAAGCATGAAGTAGTGATAAGAGAATATGGTTCAGAAGGAGAAGCAATGATCAAGGCAGTGTTCACTGTAACGAGATTATTTTGTATAATAAAGCAAATAACTAAGAGCCTGGGACAGTAAATATTGTTAGTTAATGGCCATGGAATTTAAAATGAGAAGAATGGAATAAATAAAACATGGAGTATGGAACAAATAGTAATAAAGAGGAATTGGGGAGAGAGTTAAAAAAGATATAATTAAGTACTAGAAAATAATAATATGGCAGAAGAATAGAAAGACACTGGAGTGAAAGCATTCCTTTTTTTTTTGAGATGGAGTCTGGCTCTGTTGCCCCAGCCTAGAGTGCAGTGGCATGATGTCAGCTCACTGCAGCCTCTAATTCCTGAGTTCCGGCGATTCTCCTGCCTCAGCCTCCAGAGTAGCTGGGATTACAGGGGTGTGCCACCACACCTGGCTAATTTTTGTATTTTAAGTAGAGATGGGATTTCACCATGCCAGGCTGGTCTTGAACTTTTGACCTCAAGTGATCGGCCCACCTTGGCCTCCCAAAGTGCTGGGATTACAGACATGAACCACCTCTCCTGGCCAGAAGTGAAAGCATCCTAAGGGTTTTATCCCATTAAGAAGGAGGATAAAGGTGTTATCATAGCTTTTTTAAGTTAAGAGTTTGTGTTTAAGTAGTACCATTAATATATGTGGAATATATAACTTTTAAAATGATAGAGGAATAAAGAAAAATCTGATCATCTGGGTGAAGGGAGGAAAAGAGTGCTGGAAAAGGTAGGAAGTAAAAAAAATGTGGTAATTATAAAGTACAAAATAAGAAGATGCAAATAAATCCAACTACACAGTATTACTAATCACAACAAGAGTCTTTCTCATTAGTGTAGTGGTGAGGATCTCTGCCTGTCACAACAAGTATAAATGTGGAAATCCACTAGATAATAGAAATTATTATTATTATTTTGAGACAGAGTCTTGCTCTGTCACCCAGGCTGGACTGCAGTGGCATGATCTTGGCTTACTACAACATCTGCCTCCCGAGTTCAGGCAATTCTCCTGCCTTAGCCTCCTGAGTAGCTGGGATTACAGGCACCATCATGCCCAGCTAATTTTTGTATTTTTAGTAGAGACGGGGTTTCGCCATGTTGGGCAGGCTGGTCTCGAACTCCTGACCTCAGGTGATCCACCTACCTTGGCCTCCCAAAGTGCTGGGATTACAGGTAT